CATTGGTCAACAGACCAAACTTTACAACAGCGTCCCTAGCGGCAAAAACTGCAACTATTTGAATTTAGCTACTTGTATTTTTAAATTCGGTATGTTAATGTATGAATATTACAACTTGTCCTAAAGGTTGTAATCAAGGTATTAAAATTAACAATTCTCGTTTTTATTTTCCATATTGTAATCCTGTTTAATTTTTACTGGTTAGAGACCATGCTGTATACCATAGCACAGAGCCTTTGTCCCCGAAAGGTTTCGCAGAGGTGCACTTAATGCCACTGTACAATGCGACATCCACTTTCCACTATTTATGTTATGAGTCCCATGTAATAGGGGGCGAGCCTATTGCCATATACCGGACACAATTCCAGACTACCTGTTACTACTGAGTGTTTTTTACTAAAACCCAGTAATATTATGGCCAACCCGGGAATCGAACCCGAGACCCCTTGTTCGGCAGTCGCACGAATATTGTTAATTTTAATATTAGTAAAATATAATATTAAAAAACCGTTGAAACCGACATTGTAACAATCTTTAACACTGATAGACTATTTAATAAAATTATTATTTTACTATAATAATATCAATAATACTTACTAGTTTATTCTAAATACGCTAAAATAAAACTGTAGGGAATATTCATTTTTGAGACGTTTTCTGATGCAATAAAAAATAATTGCACGGTTGGTGCGGTGGCTGGGCAACCGGCTGCCGTGCAACGTGTCGCGGGTTCGATTCCCGTACAACACTTTGTGTGATCCACAAAGTGTTGTTTCGGGTCTGTGTGTCATGTGTATGTGAACTTATATGTTTGTAAACGCATCCACGACACAGGAAAAAATCCTAGTGTGGGGCAGTTTAAAAAAAAAAATTGATATGACAGAATTTATGGTCAACTTTGACATTACACCTTTCATGTCATTGTCAAAATTATATTTGGCGGATTTTTTTTAAACAGTAAATCATTTTCGAAATGTGATTATATTTATTACCTTACTGCATCAGAAAAGCATCAAAAATCTATAAATACTAAGAAAAAAACAGCTACAAGTACTGTTAAGTTTCATCTGGAGAAATCAGTCAAATCCAGTATTTTTAAGTACATAATTTAGTACATACGTTTATGTACTAGGATTATACATAGTCACTAGGATTCATAAGACATTTTACCTAGAATGTAGTCTACATTAAAATAGTTATGTTGTTAGCTATCGTGGAATTGGTTTTAGCCGATTTCTTATTCCTTTTTATTTTTCTTATATTGGGGGAAGTAAAGTAACTACAGTTTTCTTCGTTACAAATGTAACAGCCACTTTTCGCTAGTTGTATTATGAGTCCCTATATTTAAAGACACATTTGTATTTATTGGATTGTAATTGTTATAAAATTGCTAGGGCGGTAGTATCAACATTAATAGCGATAAAACGCATTTCGTTATTATTGCCGAAACTTTTAGGGCTGACCTAATCGATATTATAACTGTAAAATCGCCAAAACCAATTCACGTGTTACGTTCATAGTTTTAAATAAAATCATTACTCCTAAGCATCATAAATAAATTAAATAAATAATATCCTACGTTCAATTATAACATTGTGGCGTATTTTTGTTCTTGAAAACGCTTGCTTGATTATAAATTTTTTGATATAGGTATTTTGTAACAACAGCGATAATGATTGTCGTCCTATTTTAGAATAAAAATCAAGATCTGGTCCAGATCCAAGCGGTCACCGGTGACCGCTCCTCACTTACACCATTATATACCTTATTCCTGATGGTTAGATAAGGTTTCTAAATGAACAAACCATGTGGATTTGTCATAATCGGATATTAAGAAGTTAATATCTTTAATCATCCAAGCGTTTAACTGTCAATCAAATACCTATTTAAGCGTTTTCAAGGTAAATAATACATGTTCTGTACTGGTGTTGAAAGTCTCGACATCAGTCGCTAAGTAACAAATATGAATATATTTTCAATTTTATTTCAAAAATTTGAGTTTGAATAACTATAAATATTCGTCACTTACACTGATTTCTATCGTTATCCAAGTCGAGACTACCAACCCAGTTATTTGAATTTACTACTATTTTATTTTAACAGTTGCCTGAATCTAAAAAACTGATGACTAGTCAAAATGGCGTTATATTTAAACTACGTATTACTTCAACGACTTAATTCAGTCGACTATTCGACTATTTAACTTTCAGTAACTAAATCATGCTTGTATTAAAATAGTTATTACTTATAACATAATTTTGTTTCGAATATAACAGATAAAGAATGGGGCCTATCGTATTTTTGCTCAACAGGTGGCGCTTTTTTTTTTTTTTCCTGCACGTCGATCCGGAGCCCCGGTTACCCGTTAGGTTCTCCGCGACTCCGAATCGGCATCGGCCCTATTGGGCCCCATCTGTGGTGGTCTGATGGCTCTTTGAGGCGCGCGCGGAACGCGACGCGCCGTACGCTCGGGAGAGGTAATAGTATAAGATGAAAGATAAACTAATATATTTCAGAAATATTCATAAATAATTTTAATTATAATTTATATTGGCGCTAGTGTGAACTCCTCGTTTTTAGGCGTTTAATATTTGACAACTGCTGTGATTGAACTAAAAATCTCTTCCTACGTTAGCGCCATTTTGTGACTAAAATTACGGTAGTCCTAGGCTATGTGTATGAACACTTTTATTATATCTTTAAAATAACCTCCTTTTATTTAGTTTTATTTCACATTTTAGAGCCTGTTTCACCACCTATATGTATATGTAAGTACCCCATAAACTTTTGTGGTAAATTGTTTACAAAATTGCATTTTTAATTCTTTGTCTGGTACACGCGGCTACACATCGAGCTTTACATAACCAGTATAAACTGAACGTTAAATGTGCGGAAAGATGATGCGACGCGACACCAGGATAAACTGGTTTTGTATAGATTGATGTGTGGCCGTGTGTACATAGCGGTTATCTATATACAGTAATGTAAACGGAACGCTTCTGAGCAACGCCGGCAAAAAACAAGTTTTATTTTCTTATAAGTAAGGAATTCATAACATAACATAACATAACATCCCGCCTTTTGTCCCCGAAAGGGTAGGCAGAGGTGCTCATTATGCCACTGTACAATGTAACACCCACTTTTCACTATTTATGTTATGAGTCCCATGTAATAGGGGGTGAGCCTATTGCCATATACCGGGCACAATTCCAGACTCCGTGCTACAACTGAGGTTTTTATTTAAATTCAGTAATATTTTGCCCGACCCGGGAATCGAACCCGAGAATGTTTATTTTGTGTAATAATAGTTGTAGTCAACTGCTCAAGGCTGATGTTGCATGAATGACACGAAAACAAAAACTATTAAAATTGTAAAAACAATTTCTTCTTGTCAGCGTTTCGAGATCGTTTCGTTTACACCCGGTATTGGGAAACGGGCCATTAAATAATTGTTTGCCATTTTTTATAGAAGTAAAATAATGCAGATATTTTCACCTCTGTCTCTGTCACACAAACGTAATATCTTCATGAAAGACAGAGAGAAAAGATTAGGTACCATAGCATACCGTAAAAATGTTTTAAGTAATAATTATTTATTTAAATCTAATATTAATTTAATGGATATAGGTATCGGGAACTATAATCAATACATATTAGGATTATCGTAACTTCAACTACTTATTTTTAAAGTATGCAATTCCAGTACTTACTTGCAATAAATAAAAATCTAGACAAAATAAAAAATCTAGGCAAACTACAGGTTCCTCTAAAATGCTAACTCGAAAATAAATGCAAAGCTTACAATGAAATTATTTGACTAAAACAATAAATTACTACTAAAATCAAAATATTTAAAATTAACGTACTTGATATGATAGACAATTGCTTGACAAGATTTTTAAAAATATTCTTAACGATACAATAAATTGAAAAATATGAGTTTAAAATATGAGAGCAATAAGCTAATGGGTGATGTTGTATGCTTTTTTGGCATAAAGAAAAAAAAGGAAGTCTCGACATCGGTAACGATAATTTTGAATAAAATACATCGAATAAAATTCTCGTCGAGACTTTAGCTTCGGAATAGCTTGAAAATTAATAATTTTATATTTTTTATATTAATAATTAAGTACGTATAGTTTTCAATTCCTTAATTCAATTCTGTTAAATTGATGAACGTAAGGAAAAACAAAAAAAAAGGTTTTCAGTTACTCTGAGAAAATTAATGAATGCGAAGAGTGAGGAATAGTGAAATAATTATAATTTGTAAAGTGACTGCTCAAAAGGATGGTCAAAGCTCATCAGAGACCTTTATAAAACACGATAAAATTGGACCAAAAAAGCCAAAAAAGAATCTTAGAAATAAATAAGATTGTTTTCGAAAAATATCAGTTATCATTGTGGTAAGCATATCCAAAATTTGTTTTTTTTTTCGTAACACGTTTCAAAATTATATCCAGATGTTATTTTACCATGGGAGCGGCATTATACCCTGTTGCTTAGATTTTCAAAAAAAAAAACAAAAAAAAATCGATACACAACCATGGACAATTTTTTTTTCTTAAATGAACAAACCATAGTGTAGGCAAATGCTGGAAAAAGAAAAAATGAAAACAGCAAAAATTATTTTTAATCTAGTACAATATTTTTTTTTGTTTCCTAGATAATGTTATTCCGGTCTTCAAATATTTTTTTTAAATCTAAGGATCAATGTTTTTCAAATTTGCTACGAAACGCTTAGGATAGTAATTTAATAGTAATCCGAATATCTTCCCATAAAATCATATAATATTTTTGAGAGGACTCGACTCCATGTTTAAATCAAGATAAAAAAAAAAACAGGACAAGAAGTAAAAATCATACACAAAAAAGTTAATCTTATTTTTTTTCTACAATATATAAAAATGAAACCCGTTTCCCGTTGTCCGATTAACCTGATTTTTGTTGTGTTTGTTATTGTCAGGAGAAGGTTCTTATGATAGAAAAAATCCTGAAAATCTTATGGGAATGGGAGAAAATGGGATTGCGCGTACGAAGTCGCGGGCAGAAGCTAGTTCAGAAATGTAATAAGACATAACACAATGTGTTACGAAGTGATTTAGCCGAATCAAAAGGAGGTATGTCATCTACAAGATGGACTGACGATCTGATAAAGCCAAGGTCGCAGACAGCTGCTGTAAGCAGGTCCCTTCCAACCTCGCGATGTGTAGTCATTAGAGGGAGGACTGTTGGATGCCATGGACAGTAAGTGTCTGATGAGATGACGTTCCAAGATTGTGTTAGAATGGATAACAGTTCAGCATAAACAAGAGGGGATTTTGACCTGACATTCTTCTGGAAATAAAAAGACCAAAATGCGTACGGTCTTGTCATTTCATCCCTTTAGAGCTGGTCTACTAAACACCCAATGGCCCCTTATAGGTGCTGAGCGTGACCTTCGGTGCGTTATTAAGCAGTATTTCTTTTATTAACCTCAGATAAATAGCCTTTACTCATGACGATATCAGCGTACATATCACTAGACAGTGAAACTCGCTATCATCAGTTGGACAGGACGAACTCTAGATGACCTGGTGTCCGCCTAACACTCTCATACTCTGCTACAGAACAGAAAAGTCGACGAAAAACAGAAACAGAATGTAAATCAAGGGGAAAGAGTCGAAATCCTTTCAAAAACCTTCGTTAAAAGACTCCAATTGATCAGCGGCTAAAAATGTAGCAGCAGCACGCTTCTTAGTCGGGGTCGCACGACTCGGCTGTAGAAGTCGTCGAGAGCGGCGAGATAGTGCGCGTAGCGGCGCCCGCGCAACCACGCGGCGGCTGCGCGGAGCAGCCCCGCCTCCCGCGCACACTGGCAGCGCCGGTGCGCCGTCCGCACGCTGCGACGCTTCGCTACGGTCCTGAAAAATAATGTACAAGTCACTAAGAGAGCTGCCTCTTCTAAATTTTTATTCATATGATTGGGGATAAACGAGTCGACGGATCACCTGATGGTAGGTGATCATTGTCAACCATGGACATTCAAAACACTGAAGGAGATACAAAAGCGGTGTACCATTTTGGGAGGGGCAAAATATAAATTAAACCGACTATTTCAACCCAGTTTCCGGCAAAATACAATGCTTTAGTTGCTTCACATCAGTTATTGGTGAGGCCGTGGTATCGGGCTGGTCCAGTAGTACCGAAGCATGGCTGATGCCGATACGGAGCCGCGGAGGACTTAAAGGGTTGCCGGGGCTCCGGCTCGAAGGGCAGGAGTAGGAACGGGGTGGTTATTAGTCAGTAAGAGTCTGACAATTCCTCCCGCCTCACCTAGGCGGGAGAAGTCATTCGATGATTTTCCCTCCTTAAACAAAATTGCTGAAGCATGCTTCTCCCACGTGTTAAATGGCGATGTGACCATTTGTCAGTTTTTGGTGAAATAGAAGTACTATAGTCACACCTGGCGGGTAGAGGTGCATGCGCTGCGTCACTCTGCCGTCATAGAGCGGTGTCGAACATCTGCAGCGACCTAGTTATAACGTCGTCCTTCAAGCATGACTCCAGGAACTCCTCGATCGTGATCACTCCGTCCTGGTTCAGATCTAGCTTCCTGAATACACGATCCACCTGGAAATTGAGACACAGTTTCAGTGATCATCAGATGGGAGATGTTTACTCCTGAACGAAAGCCTCGTCTGCAAAGGAGCTCTGGTCATAATAATATGTCTAATAAACAGATGTATCTACAGAAAAATAGGTTATTGAGAATGACCGTAAAATACTACACATTTGACAGAGACGGAGCAGCGCTCTTTAATGCACTTGAATATTTTGTACCGAGATCTCCAACCCGCCTACTAAGTAAAGAAGAAGAAGGCTTTATGTGGAGTAGACCCAGTCCAGCACAGTTAGTCTTTCGGTTAACCAAAAATTACCAATATCGTCATCCTCACCTGTTCATTAGCCTTAGCATCATCAAGCCTGGCGGCCGGAGACCCTGGTGGAGCTCGTCTTCCAAGCAGCTCATGCACAGCTACCACCACCTCCGCTAATTCCTGCCTGGTGATCGCTCCATCACCATCCACATCGTACAGACGGAAGGCCCAACGAAGACGCTCATAGACAGACCCTCGAAGCAAGGTGGAAAGAGTCACTAGGAGTTCCTGGAAGATAAGGAAGCATCATCAGATTTTGATGAACCTCGCTACCATCAGTTGACTGGACATCTACACTACACGAGTCACTGTTTACATGTGAACATTAGCTCATGACGATACCAGCGTACGTGTGTCACTGGACAGTGAACCTCGCTACCATCAGTTGACTGGACATCTACACTACACGAGTCACTGTTTACATGTGAACATTAGCTCATGACGATACCAGCGTACGTGTGTCACTGGACAGTGAACCTCGCTACCATCAGTTGACTGGACATCTACACTACACGAGTCACTGTTTACATGTGAACATTAGCTCATGACGATACCAGCGTACATGTGTCACTGGGCAGTGTACCTCGCTACTATCAGTTGACTGGACATCTACACTACACGAGTCACTGTTTACATGTGAACATTAGCTCATGACGATACCAGCGTACGTGTGTCACTGGACAGTGAACCTCGCTACCATCAGTTCCCTGGACATCTACACTACACGAGTCACTGTTTACATGTGAACATTAGCTCATGACGATACCAGCGTACGTGTGTCACTGGACAGTGAACCTCGCTACCATCAGTTGACTGGACATCTACACTACACGAGTCACTGTTTACATGTGAACATTAGCTCATGACGATACCAGCGTACGTGTGTCACTGGACAGTGAACCTCGCTACCATCAGTTGACTGGACATCTACACTACACGAGTCACTGTTTACATGTGAACATTAGCTCATGACGATACCAGCGTACGTGTGTCACTGGACAGTGAACCTCGCTACCATCAGTTGACTGGACATCTACAGTACACGAGTCACTGTTTACATGTGAACATTAGCTCATTACGAGACCAGCGTACGTGTGTCACTGGACAGACTGAACCTCCATAGACTTGAAAAAGCGATAAGCGACAAAACTGCACTTTTATTGGTAGCAAATTCGGTCTGGTTGAACAACTATTAAAAAGTACAATCGTAGCTTAAATTGGCAGTAGATGGTAGCTGCAGAAATTAATTTGAAAAGTTTCAAACTATTGAAGAAGTACGACGTCGCCCATTAATAATTGTGGAAATGGTTTTCGTGAAGTTAGGTCTGTGGCTGGCACCGAGTGGCGTTGCACCATTTTTGATAACATAACATAACATCACGCTTTTTATCCTCGAAGGGGTAGGCAGAGGTGCACATTATACCACTGTACAATGTAACACCCACTTTTCACTATTTATGTTATGAGTCCCATGTAATAGGGGGTGAGCCTATTGCCATATACCGGGCACAGTTCCAGACTCCGTGCTACTACTGAGAATTTTTTTTAAAACCCAATAGTACTTTGCCCGACCCGGGAATCGAACCCGAGACCCCTTACCCAGCAGTAGCAAATGCAACCACTCGGCCAACGAGGCAGTCATTTTTGATAACTATTGTTTATACTGCCTTTTGGTTTTCTATCAGATACATTTCGGTGAATGTGTGGAGGAATTGCACAACTTGATTCCCCCTAGTCCTTTCCATCATCACACCACAAGACAATTGGCAAAGCGTCACCAATTCATGGTAGATGTACGCACGAAGCGCTGCGCATCATGCTTCCTTGTGCATAGTGCTAAGGAGTGGAATTCTTTGCCAGGGTCTGTATTTCCTGAAGGGTATATATAACCTGGGTGTTCAAGGCCCGAGTGAATAGGTTGCTTATGGGACGACGTGCTCCATCATAGACCGCATTATTGCTGACCACTAGGCGAAACAGAGGTCAAACGTCGGCCTGCCAAATATAAAAAAGATACTATACCGCGGTTCCACTCGCTCTAATGCTCCTGAACATTCCGCATTTAACCCCGAAGGGGTAGACAGAGGTGCACATTATGACACTTAATGCCACTGTACAATGTAACACCCACTTTTCACTATTTATGTTATGAGTCCCATGTAATAGGGGGTGAGCCTATTGCCATGTACCGGGCACAATTACAGACTCTGTGAATTTTTATTAAAAACCCATTTAAATTGTGCATCTCTGCCTACCCCTTTCAAAGAACAAAACGTGTAATGAAATATCCTATATTTCAAAACTGAAAACCTTTGTTACACAAATATTTTTTCACCCTTAAAGCAATAGTGACAAGGTTTAAAATCAAGTGAAAGGTGCATACGACAGTTTAGTTAGAAACTATTCGCAAATGGGTCGCGCGTTCGATTTCCGTAGCGGAAGAAAAATAATGACTGGATTTCGGAAGCAAATATACTATGTATCTTACATGTTGTGTACTATATATAACGTCATACCTTTCTATCGGTAAGGTGATGGGCAGAAGTGCGCATAATATGGTGTAACATCAACGTTTCATCACCTATTGTGTTATGAATCCCGTGTATTGGGTCTTTTTCTAGGGGGGAAAATCATCCAATGATTTCTCTCGCCCGGAAGAGGCGAGAGGGAATATCACAATCCTACTGACTAAAAACCACCCCGTTCTTGGTCATGGTCTTCTAGCCGCAGCCCCGGTAACTAGTTAAGTCTGCCGCGGCTCCGATTCGGCATCAACCCTTTTGGCCCCGTCTGTGGTGGTCTGATTGCTCCTTGAGGCACGCGCCGTACGCTCGGGTCTAGTTCTGGTTGGGCGGTGAGTCACTCGTGCTCGCCGTAGCAATTATTTATTATTTATTGCCATTAAGGCCACAAAACCAAAAACTATCGAAAATACGACAACACCGAAAATAATTTGCTTGGCGCAGGAATAGAACCTGCCCAGCGTGGTGATTATGGGCATTACCTTATATGGCACGGCATTTCAAAAAACGGCCCCTAGTTCCCGGTCGTCCCGCTATTCCTGGCCAAGTCGGCGGCCATGGTAACGGCGGGACAGGGGGTGCTAAGAATCCCCGGGCTACGAAAGGCCGACAACACCAACTGACCCTGGCTACGTACAACGGACGCACGCTACGGCTCGAAGAACACCTGGCTCAGCTCGAGGTGGAACTGGGGAGCATGAGGTGGCATATTCTGGGGCTGTCTGAAGTCCGAAGACAGGGGGAGGACACAGTGACCTTGAAGTCTGGCCATCTCATGTATTTTAGGGAAGGGGACCAACCATCTCAAGGCGGCGTCGGGTTTTTGGTCCACAAATCCCTCTCAGACAGCGTCTTGGAGATCTCCAGCGTGTCGACTAGGGTAGCGTACCTTGTGATAAAACTTACTAAGAGGTATAACCTAAAAGTCATCCAAGTGTACGCCCCTACCTCGACATATACGGACGAAGAAGTAGAGGAAATGTACGAGGACATTTCTAGGGCCTTGCATACCACCCAAAAGGCCCACTTCAACGTTGTCATGGGGGACTTTAACGCAAAAGTGGGAGTACATATTAGCGGCGAATCGGTAATAGGACCACACGGGTTTGGTAGCAGGAACCATAGGGGGCAAATGCTCGTCAACTTCCTGGAGAAGGAGGGGCTATTCTTGATGAACTCCTTCTTTAAGAAGCAGCCTCAACGGAAGTGGACGTGGCGGAGCCCCGACACTATGACTAAAAATGAGATAGACTTCATTATGACGGACAAAAAGCGAATATTTAGAGATGTCTCTGTGATCAATAGGTTCAACACAGGAAGTGATCACCGACTGGTACGAGGCACTCTAAACATCGAACACAAATTCGAGCGTGCCCGTCTTATGAAGTCTACGCTCCGACCTAATTTGCTCCAAACTGTTGTCGGGTCCGAAAGCTTCCAGCTCAAACTGGAAAATCGATTCGCTGTCTTGGAAACCACAATAGACGCTGATATTGACCAAAAACTCGACCAAATGGTCGGGATACTCCGAGATGAGGGGACGAAAATGTGGCGGGCGCAAAATACCGGCAGGAGGGCGGGGCTTTCGGGTGAGTCTCTGCAGCTGATGAAGAGGCGCCGTGAAAACCCAGCAGTCGCTTCGTCGGATCTTAATAGAAAGATCTCGAAGCAGGTAAGACGTGACCTTCGGTGCTCCAACACACGCGCTATAAAAGAAGCGATCGAGCGAAATCGGGGGTCAAAAGTTTTCATCCAGCAACTAGGTCGAAGCCATCTGACGAAGCTGACTACATCTGAGGGAAAAGTCGTCGCTTCTGGGCCGGAGATTCTTGCGGAGGTTCAGCGCTTCTACGGTGATCTATATGCGTCACAAGCACCCCAACCTCAATCATACTCGGGGGATCCCAGGGCCACACTTGTCCGCCACTTCACTGAAGAGCTGCCAGAGGTCAGCCAAGACGAAATCGGGGTGGCTTTGGGGCAGCTTAAAAATGGAAAAGCCCCCGGTGAGGACGGAATTACGACGGAGCTCCTTAAGGCAGGGGGAAAACCGATTCTCGAGCGGCTCCAAAGTATATTTAATTCCGTCCTCTTCACGGGGAGAACTCCTAGGGTGTGGAGCAGAAGCATTGTCGTTATGTTCTTCAAAAAGGGAGATAAAACCCTTTTGAAGAACTATCGTCCTATTTCTCTTTTGAGCCACATCTATAAGCTGTTTTCCAGGGTCATCACGAATCGTCTCGCACGAAGGCTTGATGAGTTTCAGCCCCCCGAGCAGGCCGGGTTCCGAGGAGGATATGGCACCATGGACCACATTTACACGATGAGGCAGATTATACAGAAGACCGAGGAGTATAATCGGCCTCTATGCTTGGCGTTCGTGGACTATGAGAAGGCCTTTGACTCTATCGAGATCTGGTCTGTTCTGGAGTCCTTACAACGGTGCCAAGTCGACTGGCGATATATCCAAGTGCTGAGAGAACTGTACGAAGCTGCGACTATGGCCGTCCAAGTACAAAATCAGCAGTCTGAACCTATTCACCTGCATCGAGGAGTGAGACAAGGGGATGTTATATCCCCCAAATTGTTCACAAATGCTATGGAGGATATGTTCAAGACACTGCATTGGAAAGGACGGGGCATAAACATAAACGGCAAGTATCTCTCACACTTGAGATTTGCAGATGATATCGTCATCGTGGCTGA